ATAGATAAACTAATGCGTTCGGAATGAAGGACCTGCGCACAAATTGGTAAGAAAATTATGTAGGCTTCATCAGTCTAGATGGTGGACTTATCAAATGAATTATTCGATTCATAATTTGCAGCTTTCCGCAGTAGGCAACTGTGGCTGATTACGGAATGCCAGAATAACGGCAAAAATTTTTACCGATGAGATGAACGTCTGCAAATGGTAAGAAATCCAATAACCTTAGAGGCCGTTCCTTCGCTTGATGCGCTTTCGTTGTCAGTGTAATTCAGGCAGTGCGGCACAGATCGATGCCACGTTTAATTGTTGTTCGGCATAGTGTTTTAAGGACCTTTAAACAAAACCAATGATCCTAGTTGTTTAGCTATTGTAAGCCAGAAATCAAAAGGCACACATATCTTGAATCATCTGCACCTTATTTCACAAGAGTTTAAGTCGACCATGGACACACGCAGGACTGTCAGTCTTGTGTCTGTCTCGCTTACACAACAATTTCAGAGCTTATACACTATATGATGACCATAAGTAGTTGCCATCAACACTGAAGGCGCCATGCTTCAAAAGCGACGGCTGTTTTTCAGTACTTTTGTGTCTTTCAACGCATGGTATGAGGTAAACTGAAGGCCAATTAGGGCAAGTGAATAATCGTAAATCTCAGATGTTGAAGAGGAATCGTTGTGGTTTTATGTCCTGGTGACATCGCAAACAAGAAAAAAACAGAAAACCTTAATTCAAAGTTTAATAACCCATAAACACATTACGATCATTATTTTACTTGCTTCCTATTAGATGCTTGAACAATTTCACCAATAGGAAACTTCGAGCACTTATAGAATGTTTCCAGAAACTGAGGGCTTCTACATCAAAATGTAGGAGCGTGATCCCGTCAGACATATATCGTGTCTCACTGAAATATGTGACCGATTTCAAGCATGATCGTAGGTTTGTCCGTTGAGCTGAGCAATCTGATTGCAAACGTTTCCTCATCAATCGACGTGATATCGTCAGTGCGTTGTTAGGAAGCGTAGTGGTGCGTAGCAGTGGGTTAGCGATTGTGGCACACCCATCTAAGCTACCTGAGCTACCAAGATTTCCCTCAATAGAAGATCTGAAACATCTGTCTTTAGCGATTTTTTCCACGATTTTCATTTTCGGTCAGCTTACTACTACTGTTTTAATGATTTCCAAACGCTTTAGACATCTTTCGAAAAACTACTAATGATTTACCAAGTGATATTCACTAATGAAAACATACTGAGTAAGTTCACGTTCCTAGTATCAAGCAGTGAAATAATTGAGGTAAAAAAGATAAAAGCAAGGCCTCGCTCGTAAGAACAGATTGAGATTAGGTTGTAACTTGATTTATGTTCAGTAGTAAGTATCCGGAAACCCTGGATTGCCACTCACCAGAGCAATTAAAGCGTTATTGCAGCAAAGTTTTGGTCGCCCGGACTCTAAAACGATCGTATTTTCAGGTCTTACAACATATAGTCACAATATTGCTGGACCACTTTAGTCTTTCATCCTATTGTTACCAGAAGACGAGGGTGGTCTACTAAAATTTGCTCGTACAGCCAGCCAAAACTCCAACCATTAGGAGGTTTCTGCTAAACGAAATTGGTAGGCATATCTCAATGTGTGGTCTATTTTGGAACAAGCGATATGCGTAAGAAGATACATTATTCCTGCTTGAGTGAAGACACTTCGTGAACAACGAAGTCAGTTTCTGTAAGGACGATAGCCTCTATGATAAAGGAAATAGCCGTTTATGCGTTTCAGCTGTATGATATTTCTCAAATGTGATGCAATTAATCCCTCACAAATGTTGCACTAAAACACCCAGATTCGCTCAGCAGTTTGTTCAGAAACTACTTTTGGAGTGCTACAGTTAATACAAAACGTTTGTGACATTTTTAGCAGAACCTGGATTTGAATGCCAGAATGCCAAATCCCTTCGCAACACATGGTTCTTGTGTTATTTCCGAATTATTACTTGTTGCAGAAGTGGTTTGCTAGAGCTGTTTGACCTGGACTATTTAAATGTTCAACATGTACTGCACAAGCCAGTTCTTTACCGAATGTGCGGCCAGTTTTGAGTTTCTGTATAAAGAACCTCTTGAATATCACGCAACCTTCTGATACGTTTCGGAACGCCTCTAGAGCCAGTCCTAACTAAGTCCGAAAAACAAGAAAGATCAGTGTATACGGCAACCTTGAACAAATACTAATATATAATATCTTTTCGCACTTCTCGTTGAATCATTGAGAAAATTTGCCTTCTAATACAACTGTACATATCCACGGTTCTGGTCACTTTATAGTAGCAAAGATATATTCATAATCGCATCCAGGCCTTGTCCTACTACCTTGTGGTTGTGAAATGCTCCATTTCAGTTGATAAAATTCACTCTTCGCAAAATTTCATTGATTAGTCTGTCCGATCATCAAGGCCCATTTGGGCGCTGCCATTTTAGGGTATCTTTCTCCGCATTCGCCTTAACTGAAAGAGCCCATCATCAAGTACCTCAACGCTAGGGTCAATTTTTCCTTCGGTCTCACCGTGCGAGGTTTATGCACCAAAAATTCTATCCCCAAATCCTCTATTGTAAATTGAACTGGTGGGAAGCCCCTCCATTTTCTTACGCTCCGTTTCAGAAGTAATCCAGGCCATCCAAGGAGTCCACATGGCGCTTTCCCTTATCAGTGAACATCACTTTCTCCTACTCGTGATTCCACGAGTTATGATATTTTTCCGGCTTCATAGGCATTCGGGTAGTGTGTATTTCAAAGGTGGAGCACCAAGGAGAGGTTGTTGAACAGACCGAACCTTCAAATTTCAAGTTGAAGGACCTGATTTGTTTCTAAGGCGCTCGTTATCTGAGTAGTCGCTGCACTCGGCGATATCGATTTCGCATTAATGTATGAAGTTCTCGGTGGCTCTCTGGCTTCCTCTGGACCGTCACTGAAAAGGTTGGCTATAAAGTTTTTCACCACTATGACCAAACATTTCCCTTCTTACTGCGTCCAGTGTCGCATTCAGAATAACTGTAGGTACGAATAACTTATCTACCCTTAAATGACGAGAAGCATTTGTGTGCCATTTTGTTTGTGACCCAAATAAAGTACTAGGTTGTTCGTATCGACAATGCAACTAATAAATCTGCGCCAAATGTGACCATGAACGATTCAAATATTTTTAGGGGGGTCATCAAAAGAATCCCTGGAGCACACTGATAACATCAGAAGCGCATCCGTGACAGCATTTTACGCTCAGTTCACATTTAACATTGGTAATTTGGATATAAAACAGTCTTGAGCGATGTATGCTCAAAATCTGAATGCACTAAGCTAAACTTCATTGGAGAAAGAAGGTAACCCTCAGCGTTTTTAATATTATTACTGGTAAAACCAGTGTTTAGAACCTTGATACACAGATCCTGTAAACGAAAACTTCAAGACAGTTTGATCAACGAGTAACTGACCCTGTCCCCGGCATCTTCCCCGATGAAGATCTCTGCCACTGAATGCCTCGCTAACGGTTGTCACACTGAACCTGGCGAGCAGCAAAGGACCGTCTGAGTGATGTTACTAAGTGATCCGCATTTTACCGGCTATTAATTTCAATGGTACCAAAACGGAATACGCTGCAATTCTTTTGAGACCATACAACATAGGCCCACATAAGATGGTTTACTACTAAGAAGTAAGCTAAGAAAACTTTAGGTGAAACCTGACTGAAGTAAAGTTTCTGGCATTGATCCACAAAAGTTACCAACGAAAGGTCTGGTTTAGTAGCGGTTATCTCATGAGAGGAGATTTACTGCCATGGGCTTTGACAGTTCGTTTATGTACAACGCACATCTGTTCAGTTTCCAGAAGCTCAAAACATGGCCTTCGACAGATATCAGCGGATTTCCGACTCGGGTTATATGCTTATTTACTTATTTAGTAGCTTGCAAGCCTTAGAAGATGCGTGCAGGATAAAGAAAATACCACTGCTACCTTTGTCACTCTTTTAACTACAAATATTCTCAAAAAGGAGTACTCATGTTTGTACCAGGATGAGCTCGTGGCCACTCTGTAGTGATGGGGGACAATAATAATGATGTTAATGTTCGCCATGAAAGAAAGGACAGTGAAGATAACTAAAGTGCTCAGTAGAGCGGAGCACATTAACTCACTGTAATACAAGTTTAGTAGGCAAAGTGTTACTTCAGTAATCAACTGCCGTGTATGCGTAAAAATGCTCCACAATAGGTTGACGAAATTCTTCAACCGATGGCTTGCTGCACAGTCATGCTGGAAGTCAAGACTTTTACAGAACACCGCTCGGGCTAGCCATCCAAGTAAGACCTGAGGACTTGATCCTGACGAAGCCGGTACTGTTATAAAGAATTCATGTAGTGACAAGTCAACCAAGATGATAAAGTACTATGGACAGTAACAAGGCTTTTTAACCTACCGACTGGGCTATCAAGGTGACACCTTCATACATTTACGTCTTAGGACTTTATACTGGATTCGTCAAGCATTCGCCCAATGGACCAGTGTTCTTTGGGTGCTGGTGGTGATTTCAAAAGCCCTGTTGTAACAGTCAACACCGCCGCACTCCTGAACTAGTGAAATTGGACAAAGAAGTAGATCTGAAGTAATTCTAAATGAAACAGTTCTCCGAGTTATTACGGTAGGACGCGGATTCATAGTAATGAAATTTTATTCTGAATTTGTGTAACAATAGCTGAGATTGCAGCAGCTGCTGAATTATAGGTTGCAAAGAAAGCGTTGGGAAGAACAATACACTTAAAAGCGTCTCTGAAAAAAATCACTAATTTGACGAACCAAACTGAGTTCAGCAACATAATGTGGATTCATACAAGAATATTTCATATTATTTTTCCCCGCAATTTTTATAGCTGGTCAAGTGGTCTTCCTCACCCAACCAATAATACTTTTCCGATCTGATCACAGTAATGTTACAAGCCTATTTTTCATTTCAGTCTCTCGAAGAGCTGATCAAACAACCGGATACCATGAACCTGGACTCTTGTTGTAAAAAGGGTGCCAATTCTCCAGCGGTTCAAGAGCAGCCAGACATAAGGAGGCAGGTTTGTGCAGCATTCACTCGTACAGAGAAGAGACATGACCAAAACGGTAAGCGAACCACCGATAAATGGTTACCTGTCTCAGCGGACGCATTCGAGATAGCTTCGGTGGGCTGTGAGAAAAGCAGTGCATCTACACCACGGGCAGTCAAGAACTTTGAGTACACATCAAAAGGAGCCCACAACTCACTTCGAATGGACCTCCCACAGTTAGCGAGACGAAAAGTGCACAGGAAAAAGGCTACGGCAGCGGAGTTATCTGGAACTTTTGAATCATTAGTACCTGTAAGGCGTCGGCCAATATTTAAAGCAACACCACTATCGGAAATTGAATGTTCAAATGCTCTAAACGACAGCCTATATCTAAACACCCAGGGGAAAACAGCTAGGGATCAAATGTCAGTTGAAAAAAACACGTCTCAGGCACATCAACCGGATTCAAACAACCTGCACAATCTTAAACGTTTTGAGATGTTAGAACAAGAACAGTCGGAAATTGTCAACCGGTTATTGCGTAACACAGAATGCATGCAAGGCAAATCAACAGCAGACCGACCACGAAAATCTGTCAAGGTTAACGGAACCAGTGATAATCTAATCAGTGAGTTTTTCAAATCAAGCATGGTGTGCTGTCCACACGATAATTCAGGTAAACATAGTTAACGATTTGTAAACCCCAAGTTGACAGATCTATTCATATTCTTCATATAAATATAGTTCTGATTCGAAACGAGACAACAGATTTTGCTCACTTAACTATGCTTGTATCTTACGTTCATACCTGTCTTCAATTTTTCGACTGCCTTGGACTGTGGCGGTTACTCTCATATCCATGTTGGAATGGATATATAGAAATCTCCTACAAAAGCCTTTCTAAAACACTCGAAAACAATACGGAGCCGCCCTGAAACTGAAAGACTTTCACCAGTGCATGTCCTCCATTACGCAAAATCCTTAAGAAAGGCAAGTAATATCCTATAAAAAGTGATGCTACTCGCTAATTACCATAAGAATCTGCAGCTGCCCACGCGGAACGGCCTAACAGCCAGTGATGGAAATACTCATCCGATGATTGCTGACTTAACTGGGTAATCCTCTCCCATTAGTCGTGCCACAGACTATTCAATGTCATATCAACGGTAGGCGGCTTCTTCTTTAGTGAGCAAAAATCACAATTTCATTTTAACTTCCTGCATAACGGATGGATTGACACGGTCCTTGTAATTAATATTAGGAAGATGATATAGATCGTTGTACGTACATTTCAATCTCAAACTCGCTTAGCTAAAGAAAGGCTAGTGGGAAACCAAAGCAGTATCGTGAATACCATTTCTAGAAGGATATTCTAGTCTTGTCATTTTTTGTACCAATCTTGATGTCGGGTACAGGGAGTGCAGGTGTACTTCAAACTGCTATTGAAATTGAACGAAAGGTACGGTCAACTCTTAATTCCCGTTTGAGACGGCTTACTGCTAAAACAGGGAAGTGATGCTGTATTCAGTAGTGATATATCTCTGCCATTGTCATACCGGCGTTATACTTTATTGCGGAGTTATATAACGACAAAACACCTGGGTTAAAATGAAGCTGCGGCGCGACACAGCGACACTTTGTGAAGACAGTTTTTTTAGAAACCGAAACTGTCGAATGACATAATACAGTGCAGGATCTTATGTTCTGGTGTACACCAAGACATTGGCGTCGTACATTGCTTAGTGTATATATTTGCAAGTTAAACAGTAGGTGTTCAAGTAGATAGGTGTTAAATCCATATACCGGTGAAAATACTTCTATGTTGACTTAAATTAACTCAAAAATTCTTCCGTAGTTTGTATAAGGAATATGCAGCAACAGTTCTGAGAATAATTAGTGGAAATTTGATTGATGCTAGTTCCAAAAATGCACTGGCTAGTTGAGCAGTCCAACAAACTGATAAATCACTTATTTATATTAAACACTAAGACCTCCCAATGAGAAGCCCCTGAGCAAGTTGCATTTAAGGACAGTTTCGCAATTCTTAATTAGCGTATCATTTGAACCTTCAGAACGGTCATAGAATTTCCGTTAATTCAGAGATGTGAGCAAATGTGGCGCCATAATCTCGAAACCACGATCAAGATGGATAATAAAAAAAATAATAATTCTTGTTCGTCAACAACACCAGTTCGATGCATAGTTGCCGTGTCACCGGAACAAGGCACGACAGCTTAGGTAGCGCGGGTTGTCTAAACCCAGATCACAGATAAGGGGCTCTCCCCTTGCGCCTTAATCGTTGAGCCATATCGAGTTCAACACAAACTAATGTTGCGCTCTCAGATAGCATGTATTTTTAACCTGATGAGCGTGACAAGCTTCCTCCTCAGGTGAATTTGTTGTTGGATTTGTTTCACTTGCTAATTATCAGAGACATTAAAGTATTCTGGACAAAGGAATAATAAAGATGGGCTATTACAACTCAGGCTATCCACGATCTCTAAGTACGGCGTTGTCTTTATCTAGCACACGCCGAACTGATGCGTGCCGCCGAGGTGAAATATTTTACTCGTCCTGAGTATAAAAGCAGTTTACTCCAACGGATACCCAGAAAACGGTATTTTGGCTTTACATCGTTTTACTTTTGAGCACAAAGTGTATCTGGTAGATGATATGAGTCAGTGAACTTCCCGTCCTTTGTGAAAGCATACGACATACTAAGACGTTCCCAAATTTTACCGGATCCAATTAAAACCGTCTGACAAATATGAAACTTTTGAAATGAACTGATTTTCACATCGTTAGGGTCCACTTACAAAATATCTTCTAGTGCTAAAAGCCATAAGTTGATGAGACTAGCTTGTGATGACAGCATTGGCGGTTCCAATATTCAGGCAGGAGAAGCTGAATTGGCGACTTCAGCGAATCGTGTACCGATCATCTCTGCCAAATGCGGCGCACAATGACACGAATGGACTATCAAACAGTGCAAAAGTAGGCAAGTCAACTGCCTAAGATATATCTGAATGAGCGCTTTTGTTTCATTGTCGGATTACCACAGAGTTGATTCTATGGCTTCGGATACACATACACAAAACCTTTTAAAAATAACTCCCGAACTTGAAGACAATTAGACCTTCTCAGTGCCTCTGTTGGTAGTAGATTTCCGTGCCGTCGATGTGGACTGAATACTCAACCGGGGTTCACATCTATTTAGTGTCTAGTACATCCATCAAAAGAGCAGAATAATGACGTCTGTGGGTTCAGATTGGCGCGCAGTTGAAATATCGCATTATTTGCCTTCTGAAGGGATGTTTAATCTCAGGCTGGTGTAAGTTGGGATGAAGCGTGACACTGGAAAATATTTTCTTCAACACGATATTTTTGGAGTTTTGTTTCCTACAGCCTGTGACAAGCCATTTTGTATTGTTAAAGTTATTATCTCAAAAGTTTGACCAACTAATCCAACAGAGTTTCTAAGAACGTCAATTGGTTAGGTGTCCCCTGGAATATGCCCAACATTCATTGCCCAAAGAAATAAATCCAACAAACGATCCCGAATTATTTTACCATCAGGAAAACTGCTGTAGCTGCATATTATTGGGAAATTCTTTACCAGTGATCATGAACTTCACGGTCATCATCATCATCATTATTGATATTAATCGATTATTATCGTCCTCATAGTCATCGTTAATAAGATACGATAATCATTCAGCGGTAACCCTCTTTTGGTGCCTGGCTGAGACTCTAAGAAAGCACGAGGCGTGGGATATTGCCAAGTGATCCAAGCCTGGGGAGGACAAGTCAAGATTTAGAGGTCAAACAACAGAACTTCCGGTCAGTAAATTCTAACCCCTCAGCCATCTCGCCCTAACCACCGTTGACAGTAGCATAGATTTTGAATCAAAACTTTTATTCGGGAGTCTATCTTATTTTGAAAATTATCTCCAACGGTCCCGGTTTGAATAGACACACAAAAAGATGACTAATTAAATGACAAACGAATGGTTAGAGCTTTACGCTCCATATCCGATGCTTGGTATTTTGGACATGCGCTTATTGTGACACATCGGAAATAGATGCACAGAGTTCTACAAGGTGTCCCATATATGTTAGCATATTGTACACACACATTGTTTCATTTTTGACAGGATCTTCAAGTGTACCTCACAAAGGTTTGGAAAACGTTTCAGGTAATTCCAGAAGACCGCGAAGCTTTGAAAGAGCTGGGAGGCATATATTTTATTATCGTCGACGAATGCTTAAAAGACTGGTCAAACAAAGATCCTGGAAGTTGTGCAAAACAACTAGCTCCACGAACCTCATTCCTTTGAAGGAAAAGGAACAAGTTAGTAAGTATCCATACCGTATGGTGGTAAACTATTTCAGAGTTTCTAAATTAATATTCAGTGCTGTCGAGATTACATTGTTGTTTTTGTCCACACTATGGACAGAGAGTAGACATAAGTTGCCTTCGAATATATTCAGTTGAAACATCCACTCGTTCAGATTCAACGATTTCTAACCTTCAAAAACAAGCTTTGAATTGCGCCAAATACACTCTTTATTCCCGTATATCTAAGCTGGACGTGGAAGTCTTACTTGTTTACCCTCATCCACTATGACTGTCCTGTTACGTTAACAAGGCTACAGCCTGCGTTTCCGGATTCGCCTGATACCTCAAACTATGGCGCTGGAAAAGGACACGCCTAGGCGTAGTATAGGTATGAGGAAAATAGGACGAAGAATGGATGAAGATTTGATGATAGAACTCAAAAAACGGCTCGAAGTATGCGGAGTATGAACCAAGGGCTCAGTAACATACGGATTGGCCAACGTATGTGGGTATCCTGTCATCAATTTCCTTATTTTGGTCACAAAATTAAAGCATTCCAAGTAAATCAGTGTAGCGAATGAACAAGTGTGCCATGTTTTAGCCCCTGAACACTTTCTGGAAGGTACACAGGGCAAATAAAGTACAAACCATCACGATGACCTTATATGGCCACTGCGACGTTCAGTCTTAGCCTGGCTATTGAATGGACCACAAATGGCTAGTTGCGTAAAAACGCAATGAGTCGAAGAGCAGTCCGAATGAAAATATGTCATCCAATGCCATATCCAGGAATGCGTTTTTGCCCAGTTCTTGGGGGTCTGGTAGAAGGCGCAACAACACAACCCCTATATAGCTATACGATTGACGGTTTTCCTTATTGGTGAATAAGTACCAAAGCAAAGCAACACACGGTGCGGAATTGTCCTGTATTCAGTCATGGTGTGTTTACAACATTTGTCACTGGCTTTCGCTAGTAAGAAAGATTTGAGAGCGCTCGTCAGCGCTGTTTACTTTGTCCGCGGTAGGATGGACTAAACGATGTTTGTTATTTTGCAAAATGATATGGGTAGCTATCTGAATTCTTCAGGTGTTTGAAACTGGTCGCCCTTAGCTATAGCACAGCGCACTTCCTGGAACTAAACATCTATTTTGGTGCATGGGCGATCAAGGTTATAACTCCCCATCGTCTAGTGCTACTTTTCTGTGGAACATGCACATACACATATGCACATTGCATTACTTCACTCGCCAAGACCAGTTTCAATGACAGCTAAGAGAACTGTTGGTAATGACATCATAGTGACCTAGTAAATTGTTAATAGGCTTTGCGTTCCCTGGGCTGATGGATTTTTCCGCTAAGGATTCCTATTGCATAGTTAAGTGGGTGCGTTGGGAATGAACCCGGAGCATTATACGTACCGAAATGTAACATTCTGCTTAGGTTCGGGGGGAACTTTGCTTGGGATTCAGCGTGCCAGCACATCCTATGGCTTTCTTAAACTACAGTCATTCGATGTGTCCTTAAAATTCTCCAGGATTATGCTTGAAAATCAGAATGATCACAATTTCCAGCGGGTATGTGGCCAGTACATGTTACCCGAAGATCGCTTAGGTGTGTACAAGAGTAACAGCCAAAATTCATTCCTATAGTGTTTACAGGCTTAAAGTTTTGCAGGGTCAAGTTGAACAGTCCCGAAACTTAAGCTAGGATAACTGTACATCTGGATGTAATGATGTCTGCGTCATGGGGAATGGGTTGTCGCAACCCAGTGCACGTCTGTATGACATTCTATGGTCGGCCATAGTTTGATTAACTTTCAACACAAAAATGCATCTGTAAAGTACCAGTTAGCAGTCCTTCCGTGCGTACACACAGAGGGAAGGTCATCGCATATTCACGCACAGTACCACCTAAAAATCTGTCTCCCCATGAATTGATCTACTTTTTTTAAATAGACTTTGAATGGGGGTGGGCATCGTGCTGTATGATGGAAACAAAACGACCCTATTGATGGCACAATGTGACAACCGATGTGGAGTTGCGAGAAGGTGTATGGTTGGGTCGCTTTAAAATAGCTAGGACGACGTTGGTGGCCCCAAAACAACACTAGATAGCTTTAGACCACTAGAGTACACCAAATTCCAAGAGGCTAGTTAGCGCGCGTATTACAGCCGTAAACCTAGTGTGCCAGAAAATTGCTATTCAGAGCTCTATGCCTTGGCCGACCTGCGAGACTCGTTGAGCGGCGCATGGATACCTCTACTGCAGCTCAGTGGGTCAAGCAGGCACACAAACCGCTGCATAATGGCAGGGTGCAGACGCCTCCAGACGAAGTATTCTTCATTGTTCCTTCTCAAGCTGCCTTTTTCAAGTACGATACTTTCCTGTCAAGAAAACAACTACACCTAGGAGACAACCTTGGAGACACTGAGATTTTTTTAACTTGGAGCCTCTTCCGACGAAAGTCACTCCAGAGCTGCAGAGGTGACACTTTATATTTCATCAAATAGTTTCAGCAAATAGTTTGTATCGTAAGCACAGTTGGAACGCAGAACCACCACATCAGTGATCTCTTATAACTGGGATAAACTTGATTTAGCCGGTGAGTTAGCCTTCGGTACGCATATAAGACATTTTAGGCGGCAACGTATTTGATTTTGTGATTGTAGGCAACAGAGCTGAAAGATGGGATGAAACAACGTGCAGTAACTTAGTTTTTCTTGGGTCTATGTGAGGATGATTATTCTCAGTGACCCGTATTGCTTGGTGATTGTTCCTCAAGCCTAGCTGCTGGTGAAAGCCACCAGATCCTAGTGACCTAACCAACGGGGTTGATGACAAATAATTGTAAATACTATGTGTTAAAGTGAGACAGATTTAGTGTGCCATTACAGGGACCTTTCAGTGAACATTCATTTACCTCTGTATTTTGCAGCCTGCTTATATACAATGAGAACTATAGGAGGCGTCTTCGTGCGGTTGGTTTTGGCAGCATTTGCACTCGTCGGCCTGCTAACGACGCTGGCTTGGATCGCAGAGAATCAACCAAGTGTCACCGAGAACACCATGGAAAAAGAAATGGGTTCGCCAGTGTTTTCGTGGCTCACCAGACCGGATAATACAATGTCCATTGAGAAGATAGTTCGAATGTAACAACCTAGTGGGGTAAACGCTACTAATGTCAGGGAACAAAGTCAGGCACATAGTGATATCGCAACATGAGCCCTTTTTGTAGATAAGTTGCACGTCACTTGTGTATACCCATGATCAAACTGCATAAATACATCTAGCTAAATCCACTTTCGTATCTTCCGAATAGGGGAGGGGCTGAAAAACATCCGGTGCATTCTTATTTTTAAATGGTGGCACAGCGTAAAATCAAATTCTGAATTAGATCAGTCAACTTGAGGTCTACATGAGGGAACATTTGTTACTGAGCGCATACGTATCTGAATACTCGTAGCCCGGGCGAGCTAACTTGTCATCGATTACGTGGGTGTTGGTCTACTCGCCAAGCTTGGCAGTTAGCTTCCAAACGTTCCGTTCGCAACCGGGGAGACATAATCGCCCATGCACGCACTGATGATATTCCCTCGAGTGGTGACAAAACATTTGCAATCTCGGTGAACAGATGAACACCTACCTGATGAACTACCAGAAAACACGCAACTTTTGTCTGAATTACTCTGTGATCCTCCACTCCCAGCATCCTGGTTCTTATGTAGCGGTAGATATGTCTTAAAGACTGGCGAATTCAGTTAGTGGCAAATACAGTGAAGTATGATATACCCCGAACAACCTCCAGGTGCAAATGTAGTCGGTCCCGAGTATACAAGGGTTTGTTTGTCATTGTACTTAGTGCAAGAAGGGTCACGCCATATCCGGTGTGCATTTCAACGCAAAAGTACATTTTACTCCGGTAAAACTGTCAACTGCCTTCCAAAACAGGTCACTTTCGTGGAAAAATCCTCGCGATTCAAGTTCAGTGGGAATCGTATTGGGTTTTCTGGGGACGGTTGCCACGACCGTCGTTCACCCGCCAACCTAAGGAGACATCTGCTATATCACTCATTTGATAGGAATGGAGCTCACAGGCACAGAGACCAAGAAGCAGTAAATTGGAGACTTCTCTGATCCACAGAGTTTATTGGCGACCTCCCTCGCCGCTCCTTTCAGATTTTTTGTGCTCAAACACACCCAGACCACCGAGGCTATCTAAGAAATAGTACCAGGTACTACAAATTTACAAACATATGCGGTGTGGTAAAGTGCATGCCGCAAACTGCTGAGGTTTGAGGTTCACCTGCGCTTCAAGACAGCCTGTTCGAATGCTCAACAAATCAGGTATGCGGAAATACACTCAGCTAACTAGTGTTTTCCTTGTACCTGATCTCACACATTTCTCGTCGATGACTCATCGCAGTTGGCAAACGGGGTACTGCGCGAATTACTGTATCGCCCTGTTCATAGTTTTATTTCTGCATTTTTTCGAATGTGAAAGACCAACATCAGAAGCTGACGGTCAGGGGATGATCAGTACGGAATCAAGCGTTGGTACACTCGATGACTTATTCTTGGGCCAGCTCGTATTCTTTTATGACCAGAATTGAAAGATGACCATAAAGCTGCTTGACACAAAATACAAAATCTTGCGAACGAACAAGATAACTTTGGGAGGGATGCTCAGCACTAAATTGGGTTCGAAATCGCTAACACTCAACTGTTCAAGTTCAGCCGAAGCAAGGCATTCCAAAGCAGTTTCGTGCTGCAAAAAGCACATTTTGCATTGCAGTGTGAAGTAACCCAGTAAGGTGGAATTAGACTCCAACCTCGTACTTCCAGACAAGGCAATTGAATTAGCAGATGGAATCAATCTGAGCTGTGTAGATCCAGACGGGTTGGCAGAAAACGAACTCAATCCAAGGATCGGAAACGCCAGGGCCAATTTCGTATCACGTTACATCACTCCATCTCTCAGACTCAGAGGATGCCTCGCGGCAGTGATATCATACTTGGCTTCTATGTATATAGAGAACATGAAGACAAGGTTTGACCTGTATCCGAAGCACTGCCAAGGTCTGGCAGAGATTAGATCATGTCATATAGTTTTGGAAGTAACTAGTGCCGCTGAACTGGATAGACCTGTTGCACACAGTCCTTATTTTCAGTCATCAACGAGCGAATCCACAGCAGCAACCGTCAGGCCCCTGAAGGATCCTCAGGTTCAAAAGAGGCCACCCAAAGCCACTAATACACGACTACTATCCCCCAGTGAGTTAGTTCACCTCTTCCCGAAAATAGCGAGCCCGAAGATGGAGTGGTCACATTGTATTCCCGAACAACTGGGTTTACTTACTAGTGCGCGTGTCCAAGTATTGGCAGGTCATAGATTACTCGACTCCTTATGACCATAATATAGGTGATTCGAGACAATGAAGCACCGTTACTGCTACAGAGCTCTCCTGTATCCTTTTGTTGGGCCCGTTAAAACAGACCAAACCCAACAAAAGTAGCCGGTCGTTTGAGACTAAGTTGAACTAGCGGGGACGGGATAAACACAACTGACATGACACTGTAGGCTTGGGTTCCCACCCTACGCTGTCCGATCACTCTGTGCTTATGCACTGTTGCTACGATCCATGGAAAGATACCTATCGAAAACTGACCACCATTATGGCCATCACGAACAGCTCGGATATAGTCATCATACGCTTCAATGCACAGGTAAAAAGCCCCCGTTCATTGCATTAGCAGTGTGTTTAGGTTGAAAGCACAACCTACTGGTAATGGCAAACATGATCATTGCGAACTGATTGTCCGCGGTTCCTCAGCAGAATCGAGTTAACATGAAGTGGGTGCTACCTGGCGTCCCCAACCGCCGAGCGACCTTGTGGTGAAGCTGGCCACATCACCATCAGCTACAGATGTGGCTCCGATCTTGAATGACGATAGTTCTGTAACACATTGTTGATTTAGATCATACCCTTGTTTAGTGCGGATTCTTGTTAAACATTCCTGGTAAATCCCCCAAGACGAGATCTCTATCAAGCAGTGGAAAAGCCTTGTGGATCACAAGTTTAGGAAACATACCAAGGGCCACTACGCAACGCACTAAAAGCCTACTCTCGACGGATCGGAACTGGGACGAGACAACCATGACTGCACATGACGTCGGAAACCTGGCTTGTTTTCGAGAGTGCGAACCGAAGCGCCTAGAGCTGATTTCACTATCGTCTCTTGATACGAATAGCTGTATCCTTTCTGATTCTGGAGACCATTCGGTCAGATTATCGATTACACGACAGCTCTAACATAGTCTGTGTAAGCAGAGGTGCGTTGGAACTATAAACAGGAAATTGAAAATGAAAGTGAGCTGGGTGTCCCAGCTAGTGCTCAAAACAGGACCTTCTGAGCTACTAACTGAAAATAATCAATTCGCTGTAACAGTTTCGATATTTAATTGTTATGCCAGCTGAAGGGGACACAAGGGCTGAAATAATGCTAAGCCAACCAAACCTAGAAAGGAGCAGCGACATAATCACGGTTAGGTTCGAACCACCGACTTTGCGGCCAGTTCGTCTTAACCAGAGACCCCCCCCCATCTCGATAAGTGAGTTAACTACAGATGGTGTTGGAAATCCAGATTATAATAAAAACCAGTATGTAGATCGTTGAATAAAAACAACAACTAAGTACGAATGCCTTCCTTCTTTGAACCACCATAGGGCTGCTTGACCAGACGAGCATACAGGCGAATCCTTGTGTTCCGCTTCGACTAGATTGTTCGTACGTAATCGAGAACCAGTTTTCCAGAGTTGGGGGCAGCCGTAAACTTGTCCCGAAACGATACCCGAACCAGCCGCTTCAACTACTGTGTCTTACGAGAGTTGTAACAAGGCTAACGGTTTTCCAACCTATACCACGGCGTCAGGTCTGAATTTCGCTTAATATAAAGGGACGCGTGCAAGGGCAACATTTGACCACCGATCTCGTAACGTCACAAGAGATATCCCGGTGCAGCGAGTACGCGAAATAGTCAGTGAAAGGGTAACTGGTAACCAATCGTTAAAGCAGCAGATTAAGCCGTCAGGTTGTGGTTGGGACATGTGCTACGTAGGCCCAGAAACTGTCTACCAAAGAAAGTTCCCTTTGGCTATTCAACTAAATGTGGTGCACAAAGGTCGCCTCATGTTCCACCGCGAACGATATTCGAGATACCGTAGTACATTTTCACAAAGGAAACTACTCACGAATATGCTGAAAACTCTTCGACGACCCATGACCGGTTTCGTCCTTGGGGCTCACCAGATAGGCACAGTCCTCGAATTCCCGTCAACCTTGTCCCGCTGAAACCCAAATTAGGGAATTCCATAGATGCACTCATTTCACATCTATTTGGCTTCCAGGGGAGACTTAAATGAGTTCCTCGTTCACAATTAAGTATACTGCTATAAGCCGAATATCGCACCGAGACAAGCGGATCTTTGAAGAATATCATAAACAAGATTCTGTTGAGCCTCCCGTCAAAGCCACATCGATGTACAGATAAGTATTTGTCGAAATCTGTCCCGTTTCGGTCCGAGTGGAACACAAGGTTGACAGGAACTCGCGGACTGCGTCACAAAAAGACTAGACCAGGCGCACCCTGCAAATGAATGTTCAGAAAGTGTAAATGGTTTCCCATATAGGGATAAGGTTTTACTTGCGAAACGACTGTCGGCGCAAGGTTAGCAGAAGGGTCATATGCGGTGACATGACAATCACTAATGAAGGCGACTACCTTCACACTGAGCGCCGTGGTCTTTACGCCTTCCAACCTGAAGATCAGCTAATCCTGCTTGGATGCGATAGGAAACGCGCTCAAGTCATGGTACTCAACTGCCCCCAATGAAGCCGTCACTTACTGGTCGGACTGCCTAGCTCGAATTCGCCTGTCGTGCGCTGAGATTAATTCAGATGATGTTCGTGGATGTACGACAGACAAACACCGGTATTCCAGTGGTGCTGCTATCACTGCAAAACCATCAATATCGAAGGCAGTCACCAACACGTACGTCACATTAACAATCATATCCTTTACGAACAACTGTGGCAGACGGGACCACTGCCTTTCGGTGTACGGTTTCCAGGGCTGATAAAGCGATTCTGGAATCATTGGGGAGATGTTAGCGACTGCACCTGCTCCCAGGATGCCTAAACAGTGTGTTGACCGTGAGTAGCAGACCAGAAAGTCAACGAAAAACAAGCAACAGGTAAGTACTCCTGATAAAAACGGTGCTCAATAACACCAACAGAGAACAATCCAGTCTTAATCAAACCAGCTTGATCTCTCACGGAATTCAATAAACACTAAATACCCAGAATGACGGGCAACCTGGATCACCGCACACTGGCTCCAGTAGACAGGCACGGGTCGAAAAATGCTTCCGTCCAAGCGTAGTACCACTAGTTGTAGGAAGCAAGAAGCCTCATCCGACATCGTCCCCAGTATCCTCGCCCTCCTCATCTGATGCACACCTCGTACAACGAGGAGCTGTCGCAACACCTAGATATCCAGAGCCCCGGACTCGTTTGCCAACCAGGTGGTGGCAAGCAAAACCCCACGCCGCTACAACTCTAGACGGAACGACTCGGCGAATAACAGAACCACTTGTCGACTTTTCTAATCTCCGACGCCGAAATCGCCAGGGTGTAAAAAGGCCACAGATCCACGCTTGGAACTGACATAAAAATCAAACCTTCTATGACCTATAACCCCATACGGTTATCACTAAAACGAACCTAGAATGTTGTGAAGGCTGCGCCAAGCACCCTAAATCACCGGACAGTGACACAAATCTTCGCACCGGCGCAAGTGACCCGGACACAGGTAGTGATCCTGGAGAAGAGAAAACTGTAGAACATTGCTGCCGACGAGCCTGGAAGCATTAAGAGTCATGTCCAGATGCGTGTTTTCAGTGCAACCCGGAAAACCATTCTCACCTACAAAACGCGATTCCCTCCTCCAATTTACGCTTCAAGGAGCCAATTGAACGGCTTTGTGACAGTCATTTATTAAATGCAACCTCAATGAGCTTGGAAACGCCGCTGAACATATAGTTCACTGAGAAATCGCGTTTAGACACGGAATAGCGGGTGGACTGCTAGCCCACTGCAAACATATGTGTGACCCCCAGCCGTCCAGATAGAGATCACGGATGCACTGAACGCTGGTCAGAAGTCGGCTAGGCGTACCTTCTGTACCAGGGGAACTGGGCACCGTAAAAAGGATCGCAGGAAAACCAAACACTGCCAGTTCTATGTAGAATCACAACAGAGATAACCAGCATGCATGATCATCAAGGTAGGTCAGAAAGTTTCACTGACAAGGCTAGCAAAAACCAACAATCTACTCGTCATGAGCCACATTTCGAAAGTCAATTACATCTGCACCATGAAGGGACCGGATGTCAGATACCAACAACTCTTCGGTAGAGAAACACCACATAGTTGGATCGCGATTTATTCAAATCCGGCAGTCGAGTGATCTTGATTCATGAGGTAGTCACTCATATTAGGGAATACGGTTCGTCCATCAGCTATCGACCCTCAGGACCCAACACGAGGACGCAGGCAATAGCCGTGGAACAAACTCTTCCGGGAAACGACCACGAACATCAGCGCAAATTAGTTCTCGCAACAGAGGAACTATTACACCTAAATGTCGAAGCCTCCTAAACCGGGCAAAAGACAAATCCGGGAACTACAAAGTGGAAGCCCCATCTTCTGAGCAAAAGGCGGACGCCGGTATACATGGTTTATTTGCTTAATTAGTCTTCATCCTCGTTGTCTGTATCTTCCGTTTCAAAATTGTAGAATCGAAGTTCGTATGAATCCTTAGATTTTGAAACCACGCGGAGGAAATCACGGAGCTTGTGGCGTTTGAGGTACTTTTTCGTTAGATACTTGAGGTACCTGAGACACTATGAAAAGGAGATAATGGTGCGTACCGCTTAGAAAATGGTATATTGGCCGTGACGGTGACAGAGTTGCTCTCGTGATCGATATGTACCTCCTTACCGAGGTTATTTAACTTGTTGTTAACCTTGATGCGTTCCTTCAGGTACTTCTCCTACAAGTCAACACATCAATGGAAGATGGGGAAGACTAGGGAAGGGGTCCCTAATCTAAGAGACAGCCTCTTCCCCAATGTTGACTACAAACTTACGAGGGACACCATGTCCAAGATATCTTCATCTATCACTTTCGGGGCACATCCGATTGTGAAGCGATGAACCTGCTTCTTCTTTCCCGAAGACTTTTGGGGCTTTTTCTTCTGAGCCTGCAAAGATAAGCGAAAGCAGAGAGACAAACCGTCGCAACAACCATGCTGCACAGACAACCGAACTGGCGCGTGGACTTCAATCAGTGCGGACAAACAACGACCCTTTTTCGACGCATTGTGGCTGCGTGGTTGAAGGACATGAGCCCATCCAACAACGGTGGTTGTGCTAGCAAACATATCCTCCAGTCCTAACATCATTATTTGTAGGTATCACTGCCTAGCTTCACTGAACGAGGCGCGCAGTTCAGAAGCACAATCACAACGGGGCAATCAGTATTCGCATAATGCGATTCAATTTTTGAACGCTACGGAACGACATCCAAGAATTTTGGTTCTAAATAATCTGGCCTGGGATATATCAGAGACTTTATGAGGCTGTGAAGACGGCACCCTCAGGTCCCCTCGTGGGATGGATGACGGTCCACCAATCCAACTGGTAGCCAAGGGGAATTTCGAAACGAGGGCCCACATCCAAATCTGTTTAGCCTAGTTCCCTAATATTCCGCTGCACAGGCTTCCTAGTTTCATCCTCAGTTTCTCTGCGTAGGTCATGATCTAATCGGCCAGAGCGAGCTTCTGATCCTCATTGTCTGGCATCCTATTCGTCACATACTCTTCGCTTGTCATTTTGTTCATTTTCTATTTATTTAATCCGTGTAGAAATCCAGCCTTATATAAATGAACATGTCCAATTTGGTGGGTGGTGTCCTTCTGTTCATCTTCTTCTGTTCTCTGAATTACTACCGTTGTCCTGGTTTATGTTATTCTTTTCCGGGCGCATTTACATTCTGAAAGCCCTTGGTTATTTCGGGGCTATTTCCTCCTGAGCGGGACACATTTTAGCGGCATATATATTTCTTAAACTCTTTGTTTTCGATTTAGCTTCGCTGTAACAAACTGGAGCCGCTGAGATTACCTCAAAAAGATCCTTTCTGCTGTATTCGGTGGGCGCTCCGATATTACCTTGGTCTCTCCAGTTCGTTTCTGTGCCTTTACCTTGTACCTAATTTGCCAGTTGACCGACTGCTTTCTTGTGCACATGCGGCGCATCCAGCTGCCGCTTGGCGTATTTTTTCGCTGCTTAGCAGCAGCTTGATGATGCGGGCGATTCGACGGTTACCAAGGGACCCGATTGGGGAAATTTTTCATTAGGTTTGTGCCCACTCATTTCACTCGTAGTGCGGTGTGTTATATTGAGACAGGTGAACTCTCTGGGGCTTTAATAATAATAATAATAATAATAATAATTCCCAACTTGTGGGCGGCATACCGTCTGCCATAATCATGCGTTTACAGTCAGAATAGGGCATGACTGGGGAATTCGCAAGTAGTGGGGATTGCGCGAAAAGAGGACAATATCATAAACAGTGGGAAGCTTTCCATCAAATAATAATAATACTTTTCTTTCGCAACCTTCACGGAACAATGGGCCTAAGGTCTGATTATTTCAAAGACCCAATCGGCTGATAAACTAAACCTGGAAAACCACTGCTGGCCATGAGTGACCTTGGGCGGTTGGGTAAATGGCCGGAGGCACAACCAGCAAAACTGGAGGGGGAGAGTGACTGGGGAATTCGCAAGTAGTGGGGATTGCGCGAAAAGAGGACAATATCATAAACAGTGGGAAGCTTTCCATCAAATAATAATAATACTTTTCTTTCGCAACCTTCACGGAACAATGGGCCTAAGGTCTGATTATTTCAAAGACCCAATCGGCTGATAAACTAAACCTGGAAAACCACTGCTGGCCATGAGTGACCTTGGGCTGTTGGGTAAATGGCCGGAGTCACAACCAGCAAAACTGGAGGTGGAGATGGAATAAGTCGAATTGGGAGAACATGGCAAGTTTGCTCTCAAAAAATATGGTGCAATATGAGAACAAGCAGACTTACTGGTTGCACTGTCGTAGGGAAGTCAGGTGCAGGGGTTAGGTTGGATGGGGACACAGAGGTGGTTTAATTCGAATGAGTAGACCAACAAGTTGGAATGGATGTCATGGAATGAATGTCATCGTCTGGTGTGGACCCGTATTATCAAGCGGTCGAACGAAAAAATTAAAATTATAGACTGTCTGATAAGGACGCTACACAAACGCATACGGAATTATTGGTTGTTTATAAACTAGTCCTGGACGAGGGTTACGCACCAAGTCACGCCGCGACCTAGACGCACACCCCAAATTTCTGTGAAACCGAGGAAGGAAAACTATAACAAAGTTTTAGCATTCAGTGGTACTTATTCGGGTGCCCTAGTTCTTCGCATGCGGCCGCAGTTTCACTGGAAGCTGTTTAGACGAGCTTGGAGTTCACTGCGGGTGCAGAATTCACGTTTTGACGGCTGCCGGTGGTCTTACCCATCGACTCTATGAAAGCGGTGGGAGGTTCTCTGGTTTCTTTGCGTGTTTTCTTACGTATTAGATTTGGAAATACACTCTAAACAACGTAGACAACAATCACGACATTACGTCCACGCAAACCCAAATTGGAATGGACATTCGCAACCTGGAAGAAAAATTCTTCTATGGTTGTGGCAAACGTCTCACTGCGGCAGGGCCTCAGATTGATTGTGGTAGTCGCGACGTTGTACATATGTTCGTGGACAGCCTCACGCACGAACACCTTGGATGAGCCGTTTAGGGTTGCCATTATAGTGAAGATGTTCTTGGGCCCATCGACGGTTCACTGTGGTCCACTGCTGCCATTCAAACGAGGCAGTAAGGCGCCCATATATATAGCCGCAGGCTATTGACACGCCCAAATTGAGTTCCCTGAAACTATAGGGTTTTCGAAGTTGCTATTTTAATGGAGAGTTAGTCTAATCAATTCGCACCTTCCTGTGACATGTTGCACGTAGCATTTTGTTTTAGTGAGCGAAATGTCAAGGTCATTGACCATCGCCGATTTGCATTTTTTGCCGGTTTACGCGACATAAAACACGAAATCGCACTTTAGCATATTTTGGCATTCTTTGGTGTTCTTGAAGAATAAGATAACATCTTAAGAGTATTTAATGCAAATGCCGCCCTATAGGATCAGTCGCAGGCGTTTGTTTGCTTCAGACACCTCAGATTTAACAAATGGGATATTTTTGTTCGTCGAACCTGCTCACAACACATTTTCCTCATGAATCTCATATTCCATTAAGTGCAATAAAGTTAGGTAACAGCAAAAACTTGCAGTGGCAGTGCGACGGACATCTGTAGATGATCCCCTTTCCCAGGTATGCATAACTAGCTTGTAGATAATACAGTGTTACTTGATAGCAGTGGGCGTCTTTCCTATTACAACTATGATGTTCTCTAGGTGGTTATCAAAATAAAGCGGTCACCACTATGACGACGGCCGTTGTTTCTCACCCCGACTACCTATTGTAGCTGCTGGATTCGTGTCTATGTGCGACGCTAATTACGGTTCCCCACATATGCGCGGCAGCCCAGTCCAATGAGCAACGACGGCCCCTTGTACTCGTATCTCTACTAGTTTTCACTCATCTCGAATACTTGTTGTAACTTCTAGGCCTGCGTTTATGTGCAACGTTGATAATGAGACTGCACCTGTGCACAGTAACAATCCGATGGTCAATGACGGTGTTTTATACCCTTAACTATACGCGATACCGCTTGTCTTCGCTAGCTACAGTAAACGTCAGTGCAATATATGTGCCGACCGGTAAAAATAAGGCCTCAGCTATGCGTGACAGCCACGTCTGACAGCCTGTTATACTCACAACTGTACTCGAAATCATCTAAACTGGCTATTGATCATACCTGTTGAGTCAGTGTCCTTGTGCATACATACCTAATCTAATGGCGAACGATGAACCTAATACTCAAAACTGCACGCAATATCGCCTACCTTGACTACTTATTGAAACTGCTAGGCCAGTGCCTATATGCGACGTTGTTTAGTAGGCCTCAGCCATGCGAAGTGTCCTGCTTCAACTGCCAACAATGGCCCGTCATACACACAAATGTGCGCTCGCTCGCTTATGTCTGCTACTTGTATCATCATAGAGAGCATGAAATCCGTGTCATACACCGACCTTCACTGTCGTACCTGCCTGCTACCTACAGTAATCACCAATCCAGTATCTATGCGGGCCGATAGAAACCAGGTTCCAACTATGCGTGACATCCTAACGACCAACGGCCGCCCGTCATACTCGTAGCTGCAGTTGATATCGCTTACCTTGGCTGCTTATCGTAATTGCAAGACCTGCGTCCAGGGCCAACGATGAGA